GATGGTTGATTCTCTTTGAATATTTGGAATCCTTTAGGAAGAGGGGAAAATCCACACAGTGTGTGTGTGTGTGTGTGTGTGTGTGTGAGAGAGAGAGAGAGAGAGAGAGAGAGAGAGAGAGAGAGAGAGAGATATTATGGTGGTGGAGAATATTCTTTTTTTTTTTTTTTTGTTTTTTTGTTTTTCGAGACAGGGTTTCTCTGTGGCTTTGGAGTCTGTCCTGGAACTAGCTCTGTAGACCAGGCTGGTCTCGAACTCACAGAGATCCGCCTACCTCTGCCTCCCGAGTGCTGGGTTTAAAGGCATGCGCCACCATCGCCCGGCATGGTGGAGAATATTCTTGAAATATGTATTTAAAACACAGCATTGGAGAGTTGGGTAGATGGCTTTGATGTTTAAGTGAAAGCATGAGGACTTGAGTTTGATTCCCAGAACCCACATAAAAAATATGGGTGAGCCAGGTGTGGTGGCACACACCTTAAACCTAGCACTCAAGAGGCTGAGAGAGACAAATGGATTTCTTTGAGTTTGAGTTAGGAGTGAGTTCTGGACAGCTAAGGCTACCTAGGGAAACCAGTCTCAAAAACAATCAACAAACAAAACCATCTGGGCATGGTGGGGTGTGCTGGTAAACTCAGATTTAGGGAGGAAGGGACAGATAAATCCCAGCTTGGCTTATCTGATGCTATCCAGGCCAAGAGAGACCTCCTCTTTAGTGAAAGGTGGATAGTGCCTGAAAAATGCCATCTGAGGTTGCCATTTAAGGTTGGCTTGTGGCCTAATGTGTGGGAGATTATAACAATGGTATTCCTGGGTAGGAAGGCAACCTGCTGGAGAATATAGGTCACTGAAGGCATACCCTTAAGGCTATAGCTGACCATGACCCTCCCGTTCCACGTGCTTTTGCACAAGCTCAGGAGTCCAAGAAACCGTGGACAGAAACCTTTAAAACCATGAGCCCAAACAAATCCTTTCAAGTTAAAGTTATCTCTTTCAGATATTTGGTGATGGAGATACAAACGCTAGTAAGTAGAGGAAGCACAATCATTGCTGTGAGTATCTGACAACATTGGCAGGTTTTGTTTGTGTATGTATGTGTGGGGGTCACTTTATAGTTCAGATTGGCCTGGAACTATGTGTAGCCCAGGCTTGTCTAAATATCCTGGTAATCACCCTTTTCAGCTTCCAAGGTCTGGAATTATAGTTTGAGCTACCATACCCAGTAATAATATGGTTGTTAAGTCTTTGGTATTTTGCAGGAGAAATTTGTAAGAGTTTGGAGAAGTAGTCTAGAAAAAGCCTAGAATGTTATATTATTCTGGTGTGAACTCTGAAGACCAGAATGTAGCAGAAATGCAGACAGGAAGCACTGTTCTGGAGGCCTCTGGTGTTAATAGAAATTTCAAATACTACATTGGGTATCATACAAGCTAAGCTTACATTCTAGCTAAGAATTTTTTTTTTATTGAGAAAAGGAGAAAAAAAAAAACAAGTTTCCACCTCCTCCCAGCCTCCCATTTCCCTCCCCCTCCTCCCACCCTACGCCCCCTCCTCCCACCTTTCTCCCCCTCCCCCCACTCCTTTCCCCCTCCCTCTCCAGTCCAAAGAGCAGTCAGGGTTTTCTGCCCTGTGGTAGGACCTAGGACCTCCCACCTCCGTCCATATCTAGGAAGGTGAACATGGAAACTGGGTAGGCTCCCACAAAGCCATCACATTACGTAGGATCAAACCCCCGTGCCATTGTCCTTTGCGTCTCATCAGCCCTCATTGTTCGCCATGTTCAGAGAGTCCAGTTTTATCCCATGCTTTTTCAGTCACAGTCCAGCTGGTCTTGGTGAGCTCTCAATATATCAGCTCCACTGTCTCAGTGGGTGGGTGCATCCCTCGTGGTCCCGACTTCTTTGCTCATGTTCTCCCTCCTTCTGCTCCTCATTGGGACCTTGGGAGCTCAATCCAGTGCTCCAGTGTGGGTCTCTGTCTCTATCTCCATCCATCACCAGATGAAGGTTCTATGATGATATGCAAGGTATTTGTCAGTATTGCTCTAGGATAGGGTCATTTCAGGTTCCCTATCCTCTACTGCCCAAGGAACTAACTGGGGACCTCAGCTTGGGCACCTGGGAGCCCCTCTAGGGTCAGGTCTCTTGCCAACCCTAATGTGGCTCCCCTCTAGCTAAGAATTTATCTATATTTTCCTCGCATTCTGAGACTTTCTAAGGTACTAAGTTCAAAGGTAATGAACTCAGGAGAGAAAATTGAAGACAGCTTAGTATTCAGGTTATATCATAGTCATGACTAGAGGGTTTTAAGACATACTTTCAGTGAGAACTGGGAGCCAAAAGCAGAGAAGAAAGATTGGAGAAGTAGGCAGTCTGGCCAGAAGAGCAGCAAGTCAATGTCCGAGGCACAGAAGGGTGTGATTGTTAAGGATATTTGTAGCCACAGATCTTTATGTTAAGCAAAATAAGCCAAACTCAGAAAGACAAGAATACCATACTTTCTATCATATGTGGAATCTATATTTAAATCCATCTACACATGTTTACACATTTTTGAAAGGCGTTTAAGTAGAACGGACTATGGTTGCAGTTTAAAGGAGGAGAGTTTAAACAATGGGGTAAATAATAGAATATACATAAAATGAAACCAGTAGGGACTATTTGGGGAGAGGAAGGAGACCAATGAGGGGATAGGAGGAGCACAGAAGGGCAATAAAGGGATTTAATAAGAATAACTATAGTGATATATATGTATGAAAATGTCCCTCCTCTCCTCTCTCCTCCTCTCCCCCCCACCTCTGTCTTCTGTTTCAGTTTTTCCAGACAGGATTTTTCTGTGTAGTCCTGGCTCTCTTGGAACTTGCTCTGTAAACCAGGTTGGCCTTGAATTCAAGAGATTAGCCTGCCTCTGCCTCCTAAGTGCTGGGATTAAAAGAGTGCACCACCACTGCCTGATGAGACCATCTCAAACAAAACAAAACCACAAGCAAAATGAAAAGAGATCTTGCAATTTGCACTGGGATAGTGAAAAATGCCTTCATGGAATTTTGGTAACTCTTTCCAGCATGGACGCAGGTGTAAAATTGTAAACCCGTTTTGACTGTCCCCTGAAATTACTGCAGAGCCACAAGGTATAGGGCCACCTGAAGAAATACTTTTCTGAGGTCCAGCTACTCAGAAACTGATGCCAACACTGCTATGATCCAAAGGGTCTGGATCTGGGCAGATGAACTTGGCATTGTCCATATGATGCTGGTTTTGCAGGCTCACAGGATGCAGAGCAATGTGGTCATGGAGGATTCCACCAAGATTTTAAAGGAAGGCCCCAGAGCACAGGCAGTGCTCAGTATCTGCATGGTGATATAGGAAGCCATGAATGTGAACCTCAAGCTACAATGGAGACCCCAGAGTGCGGGAGATGCTAGAAATGGAATATTTACTAGAGAAAGCCACAGTGACTGGAACCAGCCCAAGAGAGAGGCATGTAAACTACAAAAGGCTGTCCAGGCTCCACTATGTACTGCAGATGGATATGGAGCTATAAGCTTTAATGCTTTCCATGCTGAACTTTGGTCTTGCTTGGTCCAATCCAAGTGCATGATTCTGAATGTACAACAGAAGTCTTTCCTGTATGTAGTGGTCTCTGTATACAATTCAGAGTCATACAGCTACATCCACATGGTTAATATGCAAAGAGATGAGACTTGGGAATTGTACCTTGGAATCCTTCCACTATTCATCCCTGTATAACAGCAATATTTCTTTGCTGTTGGAAGATGCAACTTGTTTTTATATGGACTCATAGCTAAGCTCTTGAGGACCTAAGTTCAGTTCCTATGTCTCCACAATGACATCTTTGTGTACACTCTTGAGATGGTGAAATGTAGGATTCTGAATGCACAGTAGTGCAGTATACATGCATAGGCTCTTTTATGCAACTCAGATTCATACAGCAGCTTCTAAATGGCTAATATTATGCACAAAGAAGAGTTTCATTTCTGCTTCTTACTCTGTAGCTTTAGGCTGTTTTTTCTTTAAACTTTTCTTTTTTTCTTATTTTATGTGTACAAGTATTTCACCTATATGTATGAATGTAGAAGATCAGAAGAAGGCACTGGATCCCCTGGAACTGGAATTACAGACAGTTGTGAGCCATCATGTGGGTGTTGGGAATTGAACCTAGGTCTTCTCTATGAGCACCTAGCCCTTCTTTTCTTTCTTTTCTTGGTGGAACTCTAAATATATCAAAGATAGAGTGTACTTCCATTAACAGTATCTTAAGTGACATCTAAATGAGGCTGCTTTGTTGTAAACAAAGCCACCTAGTGGATACTTGGGTATGGAATTGCGGTTCATAATTCTTTCTGCTCGCTACTGCTAGTAGCAGAATCTTATGCATTGTTACTAAATAAAATTTTATTTAAATAGCACAGCCCCTAAGTTTGACAATATCTTCCCTGAGAAATCGAATCTCTTTCTCAGTTCATTTTATAGAATTATTTCTAATGGTAAGCTTTGATTATTATACTTAATAGACAAGCAGTCCCCTCCCCTCTTCCATTTTCTTGTACAGAATGCCTTGGTTATTTGAGTCTCCAAATATGATAAATTTGTTTCTTCTCCAACAAACATATTGTATTACTGCTTCTTGAACCTTACTTAACCTTTAGTTCTATTTTATAGGAAGAGGAAGAATGTTGACCTACATAGGAGGGAAATACTTTCATTCTTTTCCTTTAAGTGAGTTTTAAACACCCTGTTAAAGTTGCTCGTAAAGACAGGGAGGCTGTTTATGTAATGGTTCCAGTCTGTTATGTAGGTCTTCCCAACCTAGATTAAAGTAAAAAAAAAAAAAAGGCAGCTCAAGTCCCACCTTTTGCAGTGAACAGCTGATTCTGTGTTCTCTTCTTAGCCAATGGTGATCAGATATTTCAGAAGGAAACTGGGTGAGTCATCTTCTGCAGATAAGCTGAAATATTAATAGTTCTATCTCCATCAGACTCTCCTGCAGCCAGATAGCAGGGCTCCCACAGAGCTGCCGGAGAAGTGGTACCCAGCAAGTCAGCTTGTAAAGCGGGTTGGATTTGAGAGATCCTGGAATCCATTAAGTTAGAGTACCCTTGACCTTGCATTTGAATAGATTATTTTCCTTTCCAGTCGTTGGGCTTGCGCGAGATTTTAGGACAGATGGACTTAAAACCTGCCTGACCGTGGACCCCTCACCGGAACACCTGCAGTGGTAAGTACCCACGGCTCCGGAGACTGCGTGTGCTTTTCCCTATTACCGACGCTCCAGGGTCCCCGGGAACCATTCCTGCAAGGGTCCTATGTACTACCGTGTTTGTAGGGCTTAGGATTTGGGTTGTAGCAGTAACTGTGTCTGGCATCTTGTGGAAGCGCCTGACAGGGGAAGTGCTGGGCCTGCTTACGCCACCAGGGGGCGTCATACTCGTTCTCCCGCAGTCACTCGCTGGGTCTTGGCTCTGCTCACAGCTAGGCCACAGTGGAGGCCGCCAGGAACCCGCGCCAAAGCCGCAAGCCGAAACAGCAGACCTGACGCGCGCGATAGGCTCGTGGGACTGTGCGAAGGAAATCAGGGAAGAGCTTCCGCAGCCGTTGGGTGTGGGGCGGGGCTTCCGGACTGTGGGTTGTGAAGTGTATCTGAGGGCGGGACTTCCGCAGTTACCGGAAGTGCGGGCGCGCCAGTTCGGGTCGCCGGGTCGTGCCAGTGCGGGAATTGGCCGATTTTCTATGCTGCCTTGGGTCGGTCCTGGGAGCTGCTTGGGGACCCACGACTTGAGTGCAACCCGGGCTGGCTCCAGGAGGAGGCGAGTGCTGCTGCTCTGACAAGTGACGCCATCTTCCCCGCTGTCTGGCTTGGCGTCCTTCCCGTGTGCCCGGAGGAGGTGAGGTGTCTGGGTGGCGGTGGGGACGAGCTGGTCAAGGCTTCGAGGTGGACGAGGGATGCGGTCCTAACCCTGCGCGCTCCCTCTGGCTTCCCCGTGTCTTCAAGTGGTGTCTGCCAGGCTGTCTGTGCCCTGGGGGGAAGCCCTTGGAAGGGCTTTTGAAGACGGTGACCTTAGATCCCTCAAAGATGGGGGTACGGCCTCTGGGAAAGGGTGGGGGACGGAGAGTGAAGGGTGAGCAGATGGTGAAGTGATAAACCCCCGCCTCGCCTTTGTTTCTCTTTCTGAAGACTTCTCCTTTTCTTTCCCCTGTACACTTCCACCTCCGAAGATAGACATTAATTTTAAGACATCTCAACAGGCCCGTTTTACCAAAAAGTCGCATAGATATGTGATCCCAATTTATGAGCCGACATAACCGAGCGATTGATCAGGTTCTTAGAGGTTTTATCATCCAACTTGAGCTCAATGACGTTCCTTGTGCTTGAAGACTCCGTTAGCTCTCCACCACTGTCTTGCACGAATGTAGATTGCTGGGTAGTTTCTTTGAAGTTCAGATGGGTTTCCGTTAAATTGATTATTTTGGCCTACGAATTTGCCTTCAAAGCATTACTGAAACTGTTTACCTCTAAATACGCAGTACAGCTTAAGTTAATATGCCTCCAGGATACCTTTCCCTTTCTAAGAAATATTCAATTATGCTACCTTCCTTGCTGTTTTGGTCACTTTCCTGATCAAATTCGAGTGTTTGTAGATTCCTTTTGACATCTAGTCCCCACACGAGCATAGTATATAAATACGACCTAAGTGGAGTAGAGGCTTTCCATTAGTGTTGCCCATAGGAGACACTAGAGCAGTAGCCCGTGGCCACAGGTAGTAATAGTGTGACCGTAGTGTTTATGTCAGCCACATTTTTGCTGTTGGAAGGTTGTGTATATATCAAGGCTTCTTGCAAAAAGTTCTGAACCCAAGACCTTATTAAGTAAGTTTCCTTCCTGATCTCTTGCTCTGTGTTGATACTACTACTATTTCTTCTTCTTCTTCTTTTTGTTTTATAGATATGGTGGTCTATAAACTTACTTTGCCCTTGACTTTAGCTAATATCGTTGGGATTGGGTATTTCCCCAGCAATTTATTCTTAGTCTCCCTAAGAGTTTTCAGTTATCTTGTCCTGATTTCTCTAAGGAAAAAAAATGTTTTTTATTTCTATTAAATTTCATTCTAGATTTGAATTTCTTTTTTCAGTTATTAAGATAAAACCTTGGTGGTAGCTTATTTAATTAATTATGCTGGCCAGCTCAGTGTCATCCTTGGAATCGATAAGTTTGCATCTTGTGCCTTCAACTCATCAGTGACAGAACATTTTAAGCAACTTAATGTTGGTGACAGATTTCCAAGGTTGCTTGTGGAGACCATTCTCTCTTCGGATACTGGTTAGACATTACATTGGTGTTCCAGCCCTCTAGGAGTTAATCTAAACGAACTATTATAATAATAAAATAGTAATAGTATTAACTTACTGAATTTCTGGATATTCAGTGACATTGTATACTACCATGTACAAATAGTATAACCATTCTTTTACATATACTTAATATTTTTGAAATAAACCAAGTATTTATTTTGAAATAAGGCAGGTATCTTTTTTCTTGGGAGAAAAATAAAGTCCTTTTTGCAAGGTATGGGATGGAGAGTAGTGTTTCATATCATTTGAAGTAAAAGCATAAACTAAGAGTTTGCTATACTGCTTAAAAAACTACTTCAGCAAGCTCTCGTTTTGGTCCTATGTACTTAATAAAAATCTGGTAATGTAGGTAGTAACAATTTAATATTGAACATACATACTAAAACGGACCTTTTGAGAAGAGAGAAAGCTACGTGTTCATTTATGTCGTTTAATGCTATGCCATTTGCCAAGGTGTGAATTCAGTACATTAACAGTGTGTGTTGAGATTTACTCATTTGTTAAATCTGCTGCACTAAAGTTGGACGTGTATAGTTCTGCCTTGCTCACAAATAGCAGAGAATATGTCTGTGACTGCATGTAATAAGGACAAATGTGTTTGACGATCGTGAGTCAGTTAAGAGTGCAGGAGGAAACTATATTGTAGCTTCCCCTTTAGTGTTTTCTGTCTCGTATCAGTGCTCATCTGTCTGTTGAATTGTGTAGATGTGTTTTGAAAGAAAACAATTATGTTTTGGAGCATCAGATTTCTTTCCCTTTTTAAAAAAGTGTATATAGGTGAAGTAGTACATAGTAAAAGTAACTTTTTAAAATATTTTTTTTGTGTGTGTATGTGTGGTGCTGGTGTTGAAACCCATGATATCAACCATGCTTAGCTGTCTCCTTCCCATTGAACTACATCCTGTCCCAGATTCTTCTTTTCTACTTTTTTTCTTTTGAGACAGAATCCCTCTCCACGTAGCTCTGGCTGTCCTGGGACTCTCTGTATGTACCAGAATGACCTTGACCTGCTTTTACCCCCCTGCAGTACTGGGGTTAAAGGCCTCTGCCACTGTGTCCCTGCAGACCAGAGTGAAGCAGTTTCCTTTCTTTTTTTCAGTTTTCTGATTAATATTCTGTTTAGTTTGTAAAATACTGTCAAACTACTTACTGAATTTGAAAATTCTGCCTGACAGTGATTTTGTGTGAGGATCAGTTCCTCTGTGTTTATCAGTCCATTCACGTCTCATAAGCATTCCTTTGTAGTAGTTTTTCAACCTCAGGTCTGCCCACATTGACTTTCCTTCATTTACTCACCATTCTTTCTGTTTTCCCTTGTCTAGCTTGGGTTCTAGGTATACCATTTCAATAGTTCTTTTACAGGTGCTTGCAACCTCATTGTCCTTGCCACAATGTCAACCCTCTGAATTTTTTAGTAAATCAAACATTTAATTAATTGTATCTGCATAAATGCATGGCACATGAGTGCAGTGGCCACAGAAGCCAGAAGAGGGAATCAAATCCTCTAGACTTTACAAGTCTAGAGTCTAGCGCTGGCGCTGCAGATGGTGGTGAGTTGCCCGACTGTCCCTGCAGTGAACTTGGGTCCTCTAGAAGAACAGTGTGGACCCCAAATTTCTGGCCATTTATTTTTTTGAGATAGGGTTTCAGGTAGCCCAGGATGGCTTTGAACTCATTATTCAGCTAAGGCTAGCTTTGAACTTTGATCCCCCCTCCTTCTACCGCTGTAATTACTCTTGTGTTAATACCAGTACACAGTTTGGAATGAAGATAGTGCCTGTAGGGAAATAAATTGAGCAAATACTTTTCAAATGAAGAAATAGAAATGTCTAATGGTCAGCATCTTTATCCATCAGAGAACTGCAAATCCAAACTGAATTGAGATTTTGTCTCACCCAATCAGAATGCCTGTTATCTTAGTTGGCTTTATGTTGCTGTGATAAACATCATGACCAAAAGCAACTTAGGGAAGAAAGGGTACATTTGATTTTTAGTCTGTTTCAAAGCAGGAATTCAAGGTAAGAACCTAGAGGCAGGAGTTGAAGCAGAGATAGAGGAGTGTAGTTTACTGGCTTCCTCCCCATGGGTTGCTTACCCTGCTTTCTTATACAACCCAGGGTGGTATCTCTCATAGTGGGCCTTTCTACATAATCGTTAAGCAAGACATCATAGACTTGCTTACAGGCCAATCTGCGCAGGCATCTTCTCAATTAAGAGTCCTTCTTCCAGCTGGGAGGTGGTAGTGCGTGCCTTTATTTTAATTCCAGCCCTCAGGAGGCAGAGGCAGGCAAATTTCTGTGAGTTTGAGGCCAGCCTGGTGTATAAAGCAAGTTCCAGGACAGGCTCAAAAGCTACACAGAGAAACCCTGTCTTGAAAAACCAAAAAAAAAAAAAAAAAAAAAAAAAGATTCCTTCCCAGATGTGTCTAGATTTGTGTCAACTTATGTCTACCAGTATACCTATCAAGAGAAAACAAAACAAGACAAACAAACAAAACACAGTTATTGTTGAGGATATAGGGAAAAGAGGAATCCTGTACACTGTTGGAAACATAAATCAGTGGGGAGTTTCCTCAAAACAGTTAAAACATAAGTATTATATGGTCCAGTTATACAGGTTTTGGATATATATATTACAGATATGGACCACAATATTGTGTGTGTGTTTGTGTGTGTGTGATTTGGGTTCACGGGATTGAGTTGTCAGCCTTACACAGTGATTTATCTGCCAAGCCATCTCTCTATGGTCAATGTGACATTCTAAACTCACTAGGTAATCTATAAGAAAGCAGAGAAAATAAGAGGATAGAGTGAGAATGACTTTCCATGAACGTCAGTATTGATCTGTATTTGAAAATAATCAGTGTAAGGAAAATCCATGCCCCATATCAATGGGTGCAGAAAAAGCATGACAATTTAGCACAAGCTGGTAGAAAATTCATGAGAACTCGGTAAATAACTATAGAAAACTGTAACTGGCTGTATTCTCAGTGGCGATGGCTATTCTTACCTTGAAACTGAAGAAAAAGTATTAAATGTATTAAAATTTCTAGCAAGGTCAGTAAAGTATAAGGTAATAAGTTCTTACTTTGGAATTGAAAAAAAAGCAAGGATGTACTAAAGTTTCTTGCCAAATCGGTAAAATATAAAGAAACAAAACTTGCAAATTAAGAAGGAAGAAATTATCCTTGCTTTTTTCAGGTGGAACAGTAGTTTACATTAAACAACAACAGCAACAGCAAAACATGCAAAGTAATCTACATTTTCCCTCAGATTTATAAAGAAGAATGTGAGGTACAAGCCCAATACACAGTAATCTTTTGTATTTTGTATATTATCAGTTAACATGAGAAACAAAGAAGTGTTTAAATGCTAAAAAATATAAGATATTTTAGTGAAATCAAGAAATAGGTTGCTCATTTAGAAGTAAACTGAAAACTGCTGAAAGAGCAAATGTTTTCATAGGTTTGAAGTCCCAAATTGATAAACAAAATTTAACAAGATTTAACAAAATTCTTTTTAAAGTTACAACAAGAATTAAAAAAAATATAATGTGTATGGGGGGTTTACTTTCATGTGTGTGTCGGTGCAGCATGTGTGCCAGGTGCCAAGTCGAGGCCAGAAGAAGTTGTCAGATCCCCTGGAACTGGAGTTACAGAGGGTTGTGAGCCTCTGGAAGAGCAGCCAGTGCACTTAACCATTAAATGATCTCTCTAACCCATAAAGCAAGAATTTTTGAGATTAAAAAAAAATCTTTTGAAGATTAGAAGATTTGATCAAGGAACTGAAATAGTTAAAACAGTTTTGAGAAAGGTTTAAACAACAGGAGTCACTGTAAGACTTCAATACTTGATTTCTAAACTATAGTGGGTACCAACCTTAGCAAGAGCTCGAATTGGAAAAAATCTTTACCTTGTCTGCTGGTTGTTCCAATTGGCTGTATCAGAAATTAGGTACTTGTTTTCCCTGCTGTTTTTAGCTTATTGCAGGCGTGACCAGGACACTACCTTCTAGAAGTAATGCCCACAGAAAGCGGAAGCTGTTCAACTGCTCGCCAAGCAAAACAAAAGCGCAAATCTCATAGCCTTTCCATACGAAGAACTAACAGCTCAGAACAAGAGAGGACTGGACTACCAAGAGAGATGTTAGAAGGACAGGTAAGTCAGTGTTGGTCAGTGCCCATTTTAAAGAGGGTTGTTATGCTGGTAGTGCATGTGGGTTTCTAAAGCAGAAGAAAGACTTAAACTGCCAAACCTTTAAAAGAACACAGTAAATTCACCAGCATACACAGAAATAGAATTATATTTTTTGGTTTATTTTGTTTATTATTATTATTTTGTTTTTGAGACAAGGTCTCTCTGTGTAGTCCTGGCCATCCTGGAACTCAATATGTGGACCAGGCTAGCTCTGAACTCATGGAGATTCACCTGCCTCTGTCTCCCTAGTGCTGGAATTAAAGGCTTGAGCTACCATGCTTGGCTAATATCAATATATTTATAATAGTAACAGAAAGATACAGCTATGACAGCATGGACTCATTTTACTCTTTGTACATGTTGTCTCAAAGAAGTTTAGCCCTAGACTTTTCAGACAGGTTTTCTGTTTCTAATGGTCTCAAGAAAAGGGGAGAATAAGTTTTGATGCTCTTTTTGTTCTCTGAGGTGACTTAACTTGCCTTTGATTTTTATTTTTATTTTTTTTTTGGTTTTTCGAGACAGGGTTTCTCTGTGGTTTTGGAGCCTGTCCTGGAACTAGCTCTTGTAGACCAGGCTTGTCTCGAACTCACAGGGATCCGCCTGCCTCTGCCTCCCGAGTGCTGGGATTAAAGGCATGCGCCACCATCGCCCGGCTTGTAAAATGGTTCTTAAAAGTTTTTTGATTTACTCACATTACTAGCAGTGAAAATTCTACTTTGTTTGCTGGCATATTCTAGAGTTACTTCCCACATGAGGTAAATCTGTTCTTAGTATTATCTTCCATTGTGATGTAGTATAAGGTATAATTGTATCTCACAGTAGGCATTTCACAGGCAATTCACAGTTCTTTCAGCTGAGCAGCCTAGACATGTGCACTGCTCTACTGGCTCTCTGAATTTTCCACGTTAGACAGTTTGTTTGCTGAAGTTCTTTGGAGTGAAACCAACTAGCATGATCTCTGAGTGGCCTCAGTGCCTTTCCCTTTTCAGGAGGGAAGAACGTGACAGTGTTTGCTATTGCAGCTGGCATGGTAGGTGTGAGTGGATTGCTGCAGGAAATAGAGATGTGTTGAGTGTCACTAGTCTGACTTACAGGAGTAATCACTTTAGACACAGTGTGGCGGAGCTTTTTCAGTTACTAGGGAATAGAATCAAAAAGAAGGTGAAGGTTAATCACCATAATGCTGTATTAGGTTAATGTTCTATATCTTAATTTGTAAGTGAAATTTTCTAGAGAGATGTTAAGATTACCAGTTCTCAGATTCAGTGTTTAAGCTAGCACGTATATATTTTAAATAGTTTACGAACTTTAGGGGAAAGCACATGACTATTGAAAAGTTCAAATTGTAGAAATGTTCATTGGTTTCTGAAATTTATAGTCCTAAGAAGTTAACCTAAGGTGGAATTTAATAAATATGTATGTATAAATATTTTTTTTAATTTCAGCTTATCAGGGTTCCACATTTGGTGTTGTATATAAACTTGAAAGATTATACTGATGTTACTCAAATATTAGAACATTAATATAGAAGTATTTGAGAATTTTATTTTTGAAAGATTTTTTTTATGCTGGGGATGGGTGGTGCATACATACTAATAATTTAGATAGTGTCCTTGTGGAGATTAGAAGAGAAGATAGGCATATCAAGTAGTCTTCTGTCTATTAGCAGTGTTCAGGAAATGTAAATTATTTTGTGAACTATGTGGTACTTGGAAGTGTTTATATGTTTAACTTGGAAATATGTTGTGTTACTTCCTTTTGCCTTCACTTTACCTTTTAGATAGAGACCGGAAATGGGAGGGGAACTGTGCAAAGGCACGAAGGATATGACCTATTATGTGTTCACTAAACTACTAGACATTTTGTTCTCTTTTTATTGACATTTAGTTCTTGTCTAGAGTTATAGGAAATCTTTAGTTTGTTTTGTTGAAGCTCAGTGGATCTAATTAGGTGATGAGTCACATCTCTCTATCCATGTATAGACCATTGAAATAGTGAATAGTTTTTGTTTGTTTGTTTGTTTGTTTGTTTTTAATAGCTTATGGTAGAGCCTAAAGACTATTTGTAACATAGCTTCACTTTTGGGAATGGCTTTGCTTCTCTGTGAATTTGGAAAATTTGAATAAAGTAAGCTCCTGTTCCCTCTGTGTCATTGCAAAACAGAACTTTTCCATCAAAGTAAAAAGTTTACTCTGTGTCAAATCTGTGTGATCAAGGCCTAAGGACACAGATTATGTTCACCAAATAACCTGCTCCACTGTGAAAGAGGGTACAAGACCGACCTTTGAGTCACATAACAGAAGAGTGGCATGTGTCAGTGCTATATCATAGGCAGGCTGCCGCAGAGCAGGGGAGTCTTTGCTGTGGGTTTCAGATGTTCTGACATCCTTAGTTTTTAGGTTGGTGGATGCTTGAGGTGTGTCCAGTGCACTCTAAAGGTTTACCTGGCAATAAGGATGTTAGGTCAGCTACTGACGTTGATAGTAAATGACTGTTAAAAAAAACACTGAAGGCAGTTCCAGGTTATTTGGGTTCTCTTTCTGAAACCTCACGGATCCACAATCATGATGTTTTGGTTTGCCAGTTAGTCTTTAAGATCTTTAGCACATATTCGGCTTCTTCAGAGAACTATGTTCACACATGTAAAAGGAAAAGTTACGTTATTTTGTAAAATGTTTGCTCTTAAATCTTGTATTTCTCTAGGAATGCCTTTTGATTTTTGTTTCCTTTGTAGAAACTTGAATCTCAAATTTTGAGTGTTGGGAATTGAACCCAAGAGCATGCTAAGTACATGCTCTCACTGAGCTACATGCCTAGCTAAATTTTAAATTCTTTAAACCTTCATATTTATAAGCAATAAAATACATAATGTTATAAAGTAAGAGTTTAAGATAAATGATAATTCACTTTGAAAAAAAGTGTTGCCTGGTATTAAAGTGATTCATTTGTTCATTTTAAACGGAAATATTTGTCTTATACAGGATTCCAAACTGCCTTCCTCAGTTCGCAGTACATTGTTGGAACTGTTTGGTCAGATAGAAAGAGAATTTGAAAACCTTTACATCGAAAACTTAGAATGTGAGTATCTCCTATCTTAGTGTATTTAAAAAGTGGTTACTACTCCGCTGAACTCTTTGAGAATAATATTTGTGGTTTAGAGTCATCACTCTGTTATTTTCTATTCTGATGTTAAACATGTTGACTTAACCATATTATTGGGGCTGGCGAGGTTGTTCAGCAGTTAAAAGCTCTTCCAGAAGTCTTGGGTTCAATTCCCTGCACCCACGTAACTGCTCTCAACTTTTTAATTTCAATTTCAAGAGTTCTGTTCCCTCTTTGGACAACCAAGGTTACCAGGCATTCATGTGGTATATAGACATACATGCAGGCAAAATACCCATACACATAAAAAGATTATCTTATGGTTCTGTGAACCTTGCATGATTCTTGACAGAATGATGTCAAATTTTGGCAGAGTTGTCTTCCTTTCTGGAGCCTGTAGGGACAAACATTTCCTGTTTATTTGTGTGGCGACAGAATGCAGTTAATTGTGTTTTTAGGACAGGCCCCCTTATCACTGTCGTTGGCTTATGTGCACATCTCCTTTAGTGATGTATGCTTTCTCTTGTTTCCTCTCTGACTTACCATTCTATCTGTCCCAATCCTAAGAAAGTGTGACTTGATTGAACCCCTGGATATTCCAGGGTGACCTCCCTACTTGCAGAGCCGTTGAACTTACAGGGTAACATTGTTCATAAATTATAGGGTTGGGCCTTGAGAATCTTTGAGGGGGTTACCAGATTGACCAATCAAAATCACAGTTTTATACAAAATGAATGACTTTATTTTTATATACCAAGTATGTCATAAATTATATAAATTATATCATCTCTTCAAAATTTTCAAAAATGTGTTGACATATATTAAAGAAATTTATATAACTCTTTGGCTCTATCACATTCTTCAAAGGAAAACATTTTCTGTATTTTTTTGCTTTGAGTTCTTCTGGTGATATATCTTTGAGGCTGAGCAGTTTTCATCCAATTTTAGATCAGGCAGATGTGTTGTTAATGCTTCACCATTGGGAAATTAATGTCTTTTATCCCTTTTGGTGTAAATGGGTAATTTTCATTTTGGGGGAGGGATGGTGTTTATAACATGGTATACCATTTAAACTGTAATGAAACTGTTTTCTCTAAGAATTGAATGAATATTAATAAGCAGCAATTAAATTATAGACTGTTTTACACCTTTAATTTCTGTGGTTAGATAAGTCATAAAGAAAATGCAATTCTGTGTCATTCACATTTTGCTCTTGGAAAATTTAATGTTTTAATATTGGGTTCTCTACATTACTTTTATGTATCTTGAGAACTTAGAGGAAGAACCAATTCTAATTTTGTTATAAATGCTGGGTGGTGGTGCATTCCTTTAATCCCAGCATTAAGGAGATGGAGGCAGGTGGATCTCTATGAGTTTAAGGTCAACCTAGTCTACAGAGTGAGTTCCAGGACAACTAGAACTACACAGAAAAATCCTGTCTCAACAAACAAACAAAAAAAACAGTTAAATAAAATGAGGTAGTTACTATGTATAGCATCAGCTTTTAAGGATCTTTTTTTTGTCTAGAAATGTATTTTTTATTGATATTTATTGAGCTCTACATTTTTCTCTGCTCTCCTCCCTGCCTCTCCCCTCTCTCCCTCAGTCCTCCCCCAAGGTTCCCATGCTCCCAATTTACTGAGGAGATCTTGTCTTTTTCTACTTTGTACTTCCCATGTAGATTGTATCTTTGTAAGTCTCTCTTAGTGTTCACATTGTTGTCTAAGTTCTCTGGGATTTTGGTTTGTAGGCTGGCTTTCTTTGCTTTATGTTTAAAAACCACCTATGAGTGAGTACATGTGATAATTGTCTTTCTGTGTCTGGGTTACCTCAAAATAATGTTTTCTAGTTCCATCCATTTTCCTGCAAAATTCAAACTGTTGTTATTTTTTTCTGCTGTGTAGTACTCCATTGTGTAAATGTACCATATTTTTCTTATCCATTCTTCGATTGAGTGGCATTTAGGTTGTTTCCAGGTTCTGGCTATGACAAACAAAGCTGCTATGAACATGGTTGAGCACATGTCCTTGTGGTATGATTGAGCATCCTTTGGATAATAGACCCAAAAGTGGTATTGCTGGGTCTTGAGGAAGGTTGTTTCCTAATTTTCTGAGAAATCGCCACACTGACATCCAAAGGATTGTCCTAGCTTGCATTCCCACCACCAATGCAGGAATATTCCCTTTTCCCATAACCTCTCCAGTATAAGTTGTCATCAGTGTTTTTGATTTTGGCCATTCTTACAGGTATAAGATGGAATCTCAGAGTTTTGATTTGCATTTCTTTTATGACTAAGGATGTTGAGTATTTCCTTAAGTATCTTTCAGCCATTTTAGATTCCTCTGTTGAGAGTTCTCTGTTTAGGTCTGTACTCTATTTTTTTTTAAATTGAATTATGTGATCTTTTGGTGTCCAATTTCTTGAGTTCTTTGTATATTTTGGAGATCAGACCTCTGTCTGATGTGGGGTTAGTGAAGATCTTTTCCTGTTCTGTAGGCTGTCGTTTTGTCTTGTTGACCATGTCCTTTGCTTTACAGAAGCTTTGCTTTACAGAAGCAGAAGTTTCAGGAGGTCCCATTTATTAATTGTTTCTCTCAGTGTCTGTGCTGCTGGGGTTCTATTTAGGAAGTGGTTCCTGTGCCAATGCATTCAAGTGTACTTCCCACTTTTTCTTCTATAAGGTTCAATGTGGCTGGCTTTATGTTGATGTCTTTGATCCATTTGGACTTGAGTTTTGTGCATGGTGATAGATATGGGTCTATTTTTGTTTTTCTACATATTGATATCAAGTTATGCCAGCAGCACTTGTTAAATATGCTTTCTTTTTTCCATTTGATATTTTTTGCTTTGAAGGTGTTTGAAAATGTGTGGATTGATATCCGGGTCTTCGATTCAATTCCATTGGTCCTCTTGTCTGTTTTTATGCCAACACTAGGCTGTTTTTAGTACTGTAGCTCTGTAGTAGAGTTTGAAGTCAGGGATTGTGAGGCTGCCAGAAGTTCTTTTATTGCATAGGATTGTTTTGGCTATCCTTGGTTGCTTTCCCAAATGAAGTTGAGTACTGTTCTTTTGAGGTCTTTGAAGAATTTTGCTGGTCATTGTGTTGAATCTGTAGATTGCTTTTAAGGATATTTTTAAAGATCAGTTTAGCAACAAAAATATTTAGGGTATTTTCATTGTGACTATGGCATTCGTGTCACAAAGCACCTACTCCTCCTGTTAAAAATAATAAAAATAAATCTTTAAAAATTACTCACGTTGGAAGGTACTTTAACTTTATATTGTCTAGCACATAGAGAAAGGTTTTGTTAGCTCCTTGGTACTGATAAGTCCCAGTTTCTTTCTTTCTTTCTTATTTATTTATTTATTTATTTATTTATTTATTTATTTTCTGGTTTTTCGAGACAGGGTTTCTCTGCAGCTTTGGAGCCTGCCCTGGAACTCCCTTTGTAGACCAGGCTGGCCTTGAACTCACAGAGATCCGCCTGCCTCTGCCTCCCAAGTGCTGGGATTAAAGGCGTGTGCCACCACTGCCCGGCTAAGTCCCAGTTTCTTAGCATGGGTGCTGTGTAGAGCCTTTTGTCCTCAGCCTATTTGTGATCTTGACTTGTTTTAAACTTTGGTCAGACAAGTACCCTACAGTTCCATGAAGCTTCATGGTATTCTGGCAGGCAGATAGGGCCTAGATTTGGGTGAACCTGTGTGTAAATCAGGTTCCAGCTGTACCAGGTTAGTACTTGGTTACTTCCCCTTGGTCTCTTTCAGTTTCACAGTGTGGATGCCTGAGGCCGTTTTCAAGGTCCTTTTGATAGTAAAGAGAATCTTAGTTCTCTGTGTCTTCAATGATTGTGTTCCTTGTAATGGTCCCAATCCTGCATTTCCTACTAATTATTCATTCTGGAATTTTTTTTTTTTTGTTATTTTGGAATGGATCTTTTTTTTTTTTCAACTTTTTTTTTATTGAGAAAAGAGAAAAGAAAAAAAAAACAAATTTCCTCCTCCTCCCAGCCTCCCATTTCCCTCCCCCTCCTCCCACCCTTCTCCCCCTCCCCCCACTCCTCTCCCCCTCCCTCTCCAGCCCAAAGAGCAGTCAGATTTCCCTGCCCTGTGGTAAGTCCTAGGTCCTCCCCCCTCCGTGCATTTCTAGGAAGGTGAACATCCAAACTGGCTAGGCTCCCACAAAGCCAGCACATTACGTAGGTTCAAAACCCCGTGCCATTATCCTTGGGTTCTCATCAGCCCTCATTGTTGGCCATGCTCAGAGAGTCCAGTTTTATCCCATGCTTTTTCAGTCACAGTCCAGCTGGCCTTGGTGAGCTCCCAATAGATCAGCTCCACTGTCTCAGTGGGTGGGTGCTCCCCTCGTGGTCCCGACTTCTTTGCTCATGTTCTCCCTCCTTCTGCTCCTCATCGGGACCTTGGGAGCTCAGACCAGTGCTCCAGTGTGGGTCTCTGTCTCTGTCTCCATCCATCACCAGATGAAGGTTCTATGATGATATGCAAGATGTTCGTCAGTATTGCTCTAGGATAGGGTCATTTCAGGTTCCCCATCCTCAGCTGCCCAAGGAACTAACTGGGGACCTCGGCTTGGGTATCTGGGAGCCACTCTAGGTTCAAGTCTCTTGCCAACACTAAGGTGGCTCCCTTAACTAAGAACCGTGCTTCCGTGCTCCCCCATCCAACCTTCCTTCATCCCAATCCTCCCCCTTTCCCAAGCTCCCCCCCATTCTCCCCCTCTCCCCCCTCTCTCCCCATCTCCCCTTACCCCCATCCCACCCCACCCCCAAGATCTCAATTTTCTCCCCGGCAATTTTGTCTACTTCCCATAGCCAAGAGGACAACTATATGCTTTTCCTTTGGTTCACCTTCTTACTTAGCTTCTTTGGGATCACCAAGTGTAGACTCCGTGACCCTTGTTTATGGCTAGAAACCAATTATGAGTGAGTACATCCCATGTTCATCTTTTTGGCTCTGGG